GTTGTTGTTTTCTTCTTCTCTGGTGAATTTTATTCCTTTGAAGATGTTGTTAATGGTTTCAATGACCTAACTAAGAAAGGCCAGATCACAAAGGAAGAACAGTGGTGGACAAACCAACAAAATCACTCTCTGTAGCACACAAACCAACAAAATCACTCCAAAATATCCTAAGTAAACCAAAAGACCCAGTTGCCCCAGAAGAAAAAACAGGAGTCATCTACAACATATGCAAAGCAGGCCACAGCAGACAAATAGAGAATTTTTATTTTGGAGGCGAATATGTGTAGCTCAGGGTTGAACTGTGGAGTCCTTGGGGTTCTCTGAGCTTGGTGAAGATGTTGTTAATGGTTTCAATGACCTAACTAAGAAAGGCCAGATCACAAAGGAAGAACAGTGGTGGACAAACCAACAAAATCACTCTCTGTAGCACACAAACCAACCCAAGCTCAGAGAACCCCAAGGACTCCACAGTTCAACCCTGAGCTACACATATTCGCCTCCAAAATAAAAATTGTTAAAAATTAGTAATAAAAATTGTTTTGATTTGATTTGAAATCTAAAATAGACTAAGACCTGGAAAAGTGACTTTCATTTTCTTAACAGAAACAAGCTATTGAAAGGGAACATGAACGTGATGAATTTCAAGAAGAAATTCAGAAACTAGAAATGGAGTTAAAACTTACAACAAAATCCCAAGATTCTGGAAAGTCCAGAGCCTATCTGGTAGGTAAAATCATTGCATATGTTACGGAAAACTTTTTTATAGTATTACCTTATAATGTAAGTATTTAGTTGGCTGGGCAGCCTTATGATTGAGGTGAGCATTAAGACAATATGTCAAAGTAAAGAAGAATGAATATTAGAAATTGAATATGATGTGCTGTGATTGTATTCAGGTTAAATAGGAAACCTACACTCAATCACAATATGGTTTTGTTTTCCAATGAGTTCAGTATGAGTGTTTAGTTTTATATCACCTCTTTGTTGATGTACCATGGGGTCTGAAAGATTTTTAAAAAAAGATTTAATAGAGAAAAAGTAAATTCAGCTACAAGATTGCAGAATTGAAATCTCTCAGGACAGAGCTTCAGTAGATTTTCCCAAAGCAAAGGAAATGAATTAGAGGAGCTAATGGAGAAAATGAAACTTTATATTAGCAGGGTCACTCAGTTCCTCAGATTTTCTTTGCTACTAATCAATAGTGAACAAATTAAGTCTGACGACTACTTACTGACAGACCCAGAAATGGCAATCAAGGTAGTTTTTTAACACCAGGGTCTTCCAAACTTTTTCTGGAATCATTTTATAAAGTTTGGCAGACCACATAGGCTCTATCAAGGTCAGATCCAGTTACAAATTAACCACTCAATTTGATTCACTTTCCCCATGGCCATGGAGCATTTAAAGGCTCCCATGGTGAAGACTTTTACAGGTAGTCCTTGCTTAACAACCCTAATTGGGTCCAGAACTTCCATCGCTAATTGATGCAGTCATTAAGCAAAACATATAACTGCATCTCTTAGTGATGGCAGTTTCAGTAGTCCCGGTAGCTAGCCAGGACCATGCCATCATTAAGCTAGGATCTCACACTTCTGTTTCGCTGTGCTTGCCTCTGCTTCAACTCCCCCTACCCACCTATTTCCCCCACCATCTCTTCCTTTTTGGCTGCCCTACACTCTGTTGCCCTGTGCTCTGCCGTTCCCACCACTGACCCTGCCATCCCCACTGCCCCAGCTTACCTTCGTCTTTTTCCTTGCACTGCTGATGAGGCACGCATGGCCTGGCCCTTCACAAGGCAGCTGCTGGCTGCATGAGGTCTTCTTCCTGAGGCTGCACACCGGTTATCAGAGCCTTGGAAGGGCCAGCAGAGGCCAGGCGCAGGTCTTCAGAGGCCTTCGGAGGCTGCAGGCAGGTGGAGGGGTGCTGCAGGTGTGCGCATGCTATGGAATGTGGGTGGGGTGCTACAGAATAGCAGGCTCCTTGGGAGAAAAAGCAGTGAGAGCAACTTACTGGAGTGACTTGCGACCTTCCCTGCTGGCATTGACAAGCACCCAGATCGCGATCACATGACCGCGCGGATACTGCAATGGCTGGAACTTTGAGGACCAGTCATAAGTCCATTTTTTCATTGCCATCGTAACTTTAAATAGTCGCTAAACAAATAGATGTAAGCCAAGGATTACCTGTAGTGGCTTTTGATTTGAAACACATTGGACTAATCAAAATAAAAATATTAGAAATACAGTGATTATTTTCTGATCTCTGAACTATGATTTCTTTTGTTTTTACAGGTAGAATCTCTCCACAATGAAATAAAAGAGAGAATGGATGATTACAACAGGCTTTTTGCAGAAAAAGAGCAAATAGAGAAAATCCTTGCTGATCGTAATGAAGAAATAGAAAGGCTGGAAGGACAGATCGGGGAGCTGAACTGTCTGAATAGGGAGGAGGCAAAGAATGCTGATAAACTCATGCAGGAACTGGAAAAAATGAAAAAGAAGGAAATTGAACTAAAAGAAGTAAGCTTAATTTTATAACTGTACATTTTTAATAAGAAGGAATTTAGAAATTATACAGGACAGCTAATAACTGAAATCTGTGCTTTGTTCAAAATAAAAGACAGATCTGTATACAAACTGCTCAATGAAGATGGCAAAATGCAAACATGTAACAAAGAAAAATGGAGTTACTGAACTATTTTGGCCAGTCTTCTAAGAGAAGTGGGTGTGTGTCTGCCAGGCAATTGTGAAGAACAGGAAGAGATCTGAAGCTCAAGACTGATAGAAATACAATCAGGGAATATCTGTTTATTTTGAATATGTTTTTGCATACTAATCTTACTTTATTTTTTATTGATAACTTTCTTAATAGATTGTGGGAATGTGTCAAGAGTATATATTCCCATTAGGGTCAACCAAAGTGCGAATGTCATCCCAGCTGCCCAGGTAAAGCAAGTAGGCATGATATAGGAGGGTGTTGGAGGCAGATGATCACTTTAGTGGCAATGGCCAAGGCATCATTTCATATTGTGTGGGAGAAAGTAGTGATAAACTGTTTCTGTATTTTACCAAGAAAACCACATGGACGGACAATATAAAGTGATTGACAATATAGTGCCAGATGATGCGCCCCTCAGGTTGGATGGCACTCAACATGGTATTGAGGAAATACTGAGGATCTTTTGGAGTACTAACAGTATTAATTACGTGGTTAGACTAAAGCATTTAGGACATTCAGTTGCTGATGTTGCCCTGCAGAAAAAGAAAATTTGAAGAGTTTTATGGTCAAATTCAATCTGAAAATCAACACAACATGCAAGCAAGATGTGCTGCATATGGTTGGAGACTGGAATGCCAAGTTGGAAATATTACAGACAAAAATGTATGGTAGTTGGACTGTGCGGCCTAGGAAACCAAAATGAGACAAGAGAATGATTTACTAATTTCTGCCAATTCATTGATTTCTTTGTTATTAACACAGTCAGTGTAGACAGTAAGGAAAATGACCTTGAGGAAAATAGGCAGGAATTGCTACCTAGGCAAAAGGTGCTGAAACATTTTTGAAGTGCAGAACAATGAGATAATATTCGGAGGTGGCTGAGGCAGATGTCTCCCTAATTCAATGGTGCATAAGAAGGAGAAGGTACAGCACAATCAGACTTGCAAGATTCTGGTATGGTAGCCAATCTCAATAAAAGTAGTTTTAGCCTTCCTGTGGAGTTGATTTCCTGGTCTGGTCTACCTAGTAGGGCTGACAGCCTTCTGACGACCAAAATGGTGCTTATATACATGGACACTACCAAATGGAGTAAACAGAAATTGAAACGATTAAGTTATTGGTAGAAGGAGGTGGAACAGTTTAGTAATAATAGCAAGAACATGGCCAGGGCTGACTATGGAACAGATCATGAACTGCTCATGTGCAAGTTCCAACTAAAGTGGAAGAAGTTTCCATGATATGTTATTGAGGCCACTATTTTCAAGGAAAACATCAGGAATCACTTTGAAGTTGTGAATTTCAATGATAGGGAACCAGAGGAATTGTGGAAAGGATAAATGTGAAAAGGGATTGTGAAAGACCAGGAAACAGAAGCAAGAGGACTGGATGTCAGAACAGATGATGGGAATTGCCAAGAAGGGAAGAGAAGCCAAAGTCAGGAAAGACAAAGATCTCAAGAAGAAACTTAACAAAGAATTTCAGAGAGCTGTTGGAAGTGACAAGAAGCAGTATTACAATGATATCTGAAGTGTATGTTCTGTGTATGTTTCCATCTTGAATGACATTGAAGGTGGAAACATACACATAAAAACATGGAGCATCTTCCAAAAGATCTGCAAACTCAGAAGGAGTTTCCAACTTCAAACTGGTATGCTAAAGGACACAAATGGGCAAATAATAACTGATTCAAAGAAGATCAAACAAGATGGAAGGAGCATACTGAAATTCTGCACAATAGAGATGTCAGCATCCAAGACACCTTAGAAGATATTCTCTATTTACAAGAACCTTTAGTACTAGAAGATGAAGTTAGATCAGCATTCTGGTCATTGCCAAGTTGGAAGGCTATAGGACTTGATGGAATGTTTACCGAAATATGACAAGGAACAGAAGAAGAATCTGTAAAGTTTCTAACAAGCTATGCTGATAAATCTGGAGAATAACAGTGGTCTAAATGTTGGAAGAAGTCAGTCTACTAAAGAAAAGAGACAAAAGGGTATGCAAACTATCATACAATATCCTTAATTTTACATGCTAACAAAGGAATGCTTAACACAAATTAAAGCCATAAGTGGAAAGAGAGATGCAGGAAGTTCAAACTGGCTTTAGAAAAGGCCAAGAAATTAATTTTACATGCTAACAAAGGAATGCTTAACACAAATTAAAGCCATAAGTGGAAAGAGAGATGCAGGAAGTTCAAACTGGCTTTAGAAAAGGCCAAGAAATTAATTTTACATGCTAACAAAGGAATGCTTAACACAAATTAAAGCCATAAGTGGAAAGAGAGATGCAGGAAGTTCAAACTGGCTTTAGAAAAGGCCAAGAAATAAGAGATATTATTGCTGATGCACACTAGATAAATGAGAAAGTCAAAGAATACCAAAAATACCAGTGTGCTCCATTGATTATAGAAAGGTCTTCAGTTGTGTCAACCATGTCAAGCTGTGAAATGTCCTTAGGAAAATGGTAATCCCAGAGCATCTCATTGTTCTCATGAGAAACCTATACATAGGTCAGAAAGCCACAGTCCAGACAGAACAGGGTGAAACAGACTGGCTCTTGGTCAGCAAAGAAGTGAGTCAGGGGTTTTATACTCTCCTCTTATTTATTCAGTCTATATACTGAATATATATTAAGAGAAGATGTGCTTGGTTTTAAAATTAGAGGAAAAATATCAATGACCTGCATTATTCTGATGACGCTTTTCAGATAGCTGAAAGTGCAAATTATCTGGAAGTTGTAGTAATGAAAGTTAAAGAGTCTAGTGAAAAAATGGGACTAAGATTAAATATAAAGAAGATGAAACTAGGTACAGTAATGAGTCTTGGAACTGACAATGAAGATATTGAAGTGGTAGATATCTTCTTCTTTTAGGGATCAACTATCAACAGTAAAGGAACCAGCAGTCAAGAAATATGCCACAGACTAGCATTTGGTAGAGTAGCCATGAAGGGCTTGGAAAAGATTCAGAAGTTATGATGTGTCTGTACCTACAAAGATGAGAATGGTATAGATAATGGTTTCCCTTGTGACATATGGAAGCAAAAGTTGGACTTTGAAGAAGCAGGATAGAAAACGTATTGATGCTTTTGAACTTTGGTGTTGGAGAAAACTCTTGAATACCATGGATAGCAAAGAAAACAAACAAATGGATCATAGAACAAATCAGAATTTTCATTTAAGGCACAAATGGCTAGGCTCAAATGATCATATTTTGGACACATGTGAAGAACTAGTTCTCTTGAGAAGTCTATAATGCTGGGAAAGATGGAAGGAAAGAAAAGAAGAGGACAACCAGCAGCAAGGTGGATGGATTAATTACAGTAGCTATGGGTGCACCATTGGAAGACCTGAAAGACCAGATTGGAGACAGATCATGGTAAAAATCTATCTGGTCACTAAAAGTTTAATACCTAGTTGATGGCACATAATCAGTCAAAGTATGGGATGGCATAGATACATAGCAGGTTTGAACACTACTCAGAATGTTCATGAATGGTTCCTCATTAAACTGAACTGAGGAATCTGTAGGGTGCCACAAACATCAATCCTGAAGTCTGTATTCTTCAGCATTTTTGTCAGCAACTTGGATGAGGAGATCGAAAGAAATGTAATCAAGTTTGCAAATGATATAAAATTGAATGAACTAGCTAATACTCTAAAATTAAATTCAAAATGGCTTTAATGCACGCCAAATGCTTTCAAAAGATGGTCACATGATTACTGACTTTTACCTCTAGAGTAGAGCTTGCCTCTTGCTTTTGGTGCTTCTAGGAAGCTTAAGCATCAACAGGCTGAATGAAATAGCATTTACCTACATATGCAATTTTTTATGTTTTACAGGATAAAGAAACATTGCAGCAGCAACAGAACAAAAATTTAATTCTGATTTCCACTTTGCAGTCTAAACTAGATGAAGTTAGACAAAGGGTACTTACTGATACTAGTGTGGATCATATGCTAAAGGAACAACTAAAAATACAAGAAGAACTTATAACAAAAAAAAGAGAGGTAAATTGAAATAAACATAACTCAAGACTCAGTGGAAAAAATCTCATGTTGATTCTTCTCTGTTTGAAAATATAATTAGCAGTGAATCCTATTTCAAGAATATAATTTATAAATGCATAATAACATCTTCTGTAAAACTCCACAATTCCTTTTTCTTTCTTTGCAGATGTTTATACAGGTAGTCCTCACTTACTGACTGCTTGTTCGGTGGATGTTCAAAATTATGACAGTGCTGAATGAGATTTACAGCCAGTCCTCAAAGTTGCAGCTGTCACAGCATCCCCACAGTCATGTGATTGCAATCTGGGCATTTGGCAACTGGCTCGCAATTACGATGGTCACAGCATCCTGCATTCACGTAATCACCATTTGTGATCTTCACTGCCAGCTTCTGACAAGCAGTCAATCAGGAAGTCAGCAGGAGGCCGCAAATGATGCTCACGTGATGTTGCACTTAATGACTGTGTGGGATTTACTTAACAACTGGAACTGCTAGAACTGCCACTGAAAGTCGGTGTGGTCATGTGATGTCATGCTTTATGACTGCGTTGCTTAGTGACCATGTTCCGAATTACTATCATTAACCAAGGACTGCCTTGTCAAGGAATTAAACTCTTGAATTGCCTTTGAGTGAAAGCTGGATTTATTTTATTTCCTGTTACAAAGGTGCAGGAAATATATTACATTCTTAAGGTGGGGCTCTTAGAAACAAATAATTCCCATTTACTTTGAATTCTTTATCATGGTCTCTGTGACTCATACACGTTGACTATCATTTGTGTAGAGCCTGTTCAGAATCTTATAAAGCTTACAGATTTCTTGGAAAAAGTCTCACTCACTATAGAGGTGGGGGCAGAATAGATCTACAGATGGGGCTATGCCTTCCAATTCTTTCAGAATAGACTTCTGTACCTTTTCCCACTGATCATCCTGCTGATCAGAGTGTGAAAATCTACAGGGTTTCAGATGTTTTCATCCTTTTTCCTCTGTGCTGGTCTTTGCAGCTCACAAGGATAATCTCTGCCTCCTGAAGCATCCCAATTTATTTTCTATCCATCAGGGGCAAATGGAAGATTTGATTCCATCTTCCCTCAGAGACAAATTAGATTAGGTCTTCCTAGGTACTCAAAAAGCCTCCAATGTTAAATGGAGTGTACAGAAAATGTTTCCATACTTACACAAAATGGCATTTGGTGGATTTCCACAATCCATATAAGGAATTGGGTCAAAACTCCACTCTCACTTTCCTGATCTGAAGAAAGAAAAAAGTAGGGAGTTCCTTTGTGACTGCTTGGTAAAGACTGACGCACATTCATCACCAATTTTTGTAAGAGAGTTTGTAGCTCAGGTTTGCAAATCTGAGGGTAAAGATTTGTTGTTGTTGTTTTGATAGGTTTTTAAGCTTTAGGAATCTTACCACTGAAATATATATAATTTATATAAATAAATAATGAACTTTTACAAATATGTGTTGATGGAATGATTGAAAACAGTAATGCTTTGTTTAATTTCATAATTTTGTTTTGCTTCAGGCAGCAGATTTATTAGAACAACTTGAACAATTTAAAGAGAATTTAGTGAATAAAAATGAAGAAATCTTACAGCTGAAATCAAAGTTAGAAGTGGAAAAAAATGCTAACATCAACAAACTAACCCAACTGAAAGAAGAAAATGCACACCTGAAAGTATGCCTGCAATTTAATTTTAAGGAAAAATCATTTCTTTAGAGATTGTGCTCCCTAGAAACTGCATGTAATTATCACATTTAAGGAGAAAGCAAATGGATTATATGAAGGAATCGTTTTTCCATTTTGTTACCTATTATTAAAAAAACCTCCTTTCCTCCACAATTGTCCTTCTGACCCTGAATTGGAAGCTATATAACAAACGTATTTGTGGGAGAATTTGTTGTGGCAGTGCCACAAAAAATTAATTAAAACTAGACCTAGACTAAATTTAGGCACGCCTCCTTGCTTTATTTTACTCAGATAACAATAACCATGGGTAAAATGGGTAGGAGCATTGCACTAGGAGAGGAAGGCATGCAAATCCTAAATCTGATTCCAGCGTCTCTGTTCAAAATTGGACTTCTTTAAAAATACATTGAACTCAGTTCAACTTACAGATATGTTTATATTTATTATATGGTTTTAAGAAAAGAATACAGGACAGGCTTTTTTCCATTTAAAGTTGCTGAAATATTAAGATTGGTGCTTTGGTAGACTTCCCATCTAATTTCTAGGAAAAGTTGAAAGAACACTAACCATTTTTTAAAAATCAATCCTGGTTATAGACTGAAACTAGTATAATGTTTTGCAGGCTGGCTCCCTTTGAGTTAGAAGTTCCCAATTCAAAACAATTTAGTGTTCAGTTTTCAGGGAAATAGATATAAAGATACAAATAGAGCAAGGAACCTGCAAACTTAAGTGACTGGTATATAAGTACAAATTTGTATTAGGCATCTGGATGCCTAATACTGAAGGCTGTAAATTATAACTGGATTGTCTTTATAATTTATATGCTACCTCATGTTTACAATTCTGTACAGTCCACGCCAAAGTATATTTTGCTTTTAAAGCACAAGGCTCATAGGTGTCTTCTGCTTGAAGGTATAAGTTCCCCTCACAAGCTATGTCTGAATTCTCTTTGCAGCTTGGTGACTGAGCTCAGGTACTACTAAGACTAAGAGAAAGAATCCTGCAAACATAGTCTGTTTCCTAGAAAATAGGAAAATGCGCTACAGCACAGCATTGTATTTCTGAGCAGAATTAAATAACACTGCAAAACATATTTTATTAATCTTGCTCATTTTTAAACTAAAGGCAGTTTTAATCAAGGCTGTGCTATCTCATAATATTCTTAATAGCAGAGGCATCAGTAGACATTTGTTCCAGATCAAACGTAAGAAAGAAGTCACTAGTTTAATACATGTAAACTAAAACAAGTTTTATAATATAATATACTCTATCATGTGGGGCATGCTTGGAGTGTCAACATGCCACTTTGTTTTTGTCAAGAGTAAAGGAACAGATTGTAGCAGATTGATCTAATACAGAACTCTTTCTGTTAGGAAAACATTGAAAAATTGGCCATACAAAGTCAAAATCCAGGTGAAAATGAGCTGGTTATTCTGCAGTTTCTGAAATCCTTGCTTGAAGAAAAGAATCAAGAAACTGATCATTTGAATGAGCAAATTGAGAGATTGGAACAAAAAATAGAGAATAGCAAGGAAAATGAGGTAACAAAATAACACTTTTTAATTTGCCTGATAATGAATCTATTAATACATATTAAGATAGTGAAAACTTTGGAGGTTAGAACCGATATAACAACAAAATTGCTACGAACTCAAGCATGTGTGAATATGAATTTAGAAGTTTCTACTATTTTCAATATTAGATTTTATTTATTGGCCTAAATGTGGCAAATAATGGTTTGCTTGAGTCATCATTTCTTCTCAGCCCACAATCACATTTTTATTTGAGTTCCTAATTAGGCCCTACTTCCCCAGCATTAAAAGTAATTAAAAGGAGCTCTCCACATAGATCACATAAAATATAAATATAATATGTTTATAGTATATGTTTAAAATACAGTACAAAAGATATATGTCAGAACTAATGCATAGTGATATTTCAGGTTCTGGAAAAGCAAATGTTTGAAACTGAAGTCATGAAATCAGTTATAGAAGAACTTCGTAGTGAGAAGGAGCAGTTGTTAAGAAATAAAGCAGAAGAAATTGAACAGCTCCATAAAGTAATTGAGAAGCTTCAGAAGGAGTCAGAAGTTCTTATACCCATATATCATGAAGCTGAAAATAGACAAGGCAATCCAAATGATTTTTCTTTGGAAGAACAAGAAGAGAATCTTGAAAATAAATTGACGGAAGGGTCACAAAGTCTTCTAGAAAACAAAAGGGATAATGACAACCGTGTGTTGTTTAATAGCAGTCAGAATGAGCTTCAGCGACAACTAGAAATGTCTTTGATGGATAGAGAAGTTTTGCAACAGCTGCTTAATGAAAAGGAATCTCAGTTTAAAATGGAATTTAAAATCCTAGAACAAAATCTTGAAAATGTTCGGGAGTCTTCTAGGCAGTGCTGTTCTGAACTAACATCTTTACAGTTGTTATACAAAGAATTGCAAGAAGAACATAAGCTTCTGAAGATGTACATAACACAGAAGGAAGCTGAAATGACAGAGATGAATTCGTATAGTCAAGATCTTGAAGTTAACCTAAGAGAGAGAGAAATAAAACTATTAGAGATAGAACTACAACTCCAAATAGTATCAGAGCAGAAAGTAGAGCAGGCAGCTAAAGTTCAACATATGACAGAAAATGTTGTGAAACTTGAAAATGAACTTAAAACTATGACACAAACACTGCACAACAAAGAGACCACTTATCAAAGAGAAATAAGTGAACTTCAAGCTACTGTTGCAGAACTGAAGTCTGAAATTGAGAAAAAGGTGGAAGAACTGGAAATACTAAAATCTGAAAAAGATCTGTTTCACTCACAGTTGAAGACCCCCATGGAAAAGGACCAAGACAATTACCAGAAAGAAATTAAATACCATAAGTCAGTGCTTGATCTTGCTGCCTTTTTCCCTTCTGAAGAAAAAGAGGAAGAGGAAGAAGAAAGAGATTTAACTAATGTGCTTTCAGCATCTACTAAATATCCTTTTCCACTGGTATGTATTAGCCCAATTACTGCTAATCTTAAACAGGAGAATCAGAGGATTTACACATGTGGTTAAAAGAAACTCAGATATACAGGGAAATTATCAATCATTCCTCAGTAAGTAGAATGTGCCCAGCACCAGTAATAATAGCTTGCCCTGCCATCATAGCCATACTTATATTGCTGTATTGCTTCTCTACAGAATTACTGTCTAGATATATTACCAAAAGAACAGGTTGGTGTATGTGTATTTGTTTATTTGATTTATTATAGCTGCCCATCTCATATATGTGACTGTGTGTGTGTGTGTGTGACATTATCAATTAGGAAAAAACCCAAAACTTTAGGAAATTTCAAACAAGTTCATTCTGAAGTATCACTGAATGCCAGGTGTCCAGGAAAAATGAACTTCCTGAATGTGTAGTGAGAAATGTAGCTGTGGTTCATTTTCTTCCATAAATAGCTGCAAAGAAAGGGCTTTTCTTAGGAGCAAGATATTTGCACAAAGCTTCCCATTTTCTATTTTATCTCAGTTAATGGTCAGAAGTATTCACGTTTACAGCAGTTTTCTAAACATTTGTATTATTTTGCAGGAGGAAGATAGTATGACTCATCTGCAGGTCTCCAGCAAAAATCTGAATATTCCTAATAAACAACCACAAGATGTCCCTTTCATTCAGGGAAAGCAAACAGATCCTGATGAAGTGCAGCAAAATCTGAAACCTTTTTTTCAAAAAATATGGCAATCGAATCATGCTTCTCAAAGCTCACAAATCTCTCAAACAATATCAGATTGCTTTCAAAATATAATCACAAATACAACCTTGTGGGATTCGCCTGAGAATATGAGGAAAGAGAACAAAAGTTTAGAATTCCAAGCAAGCCTTTCCTCAACACCCTTCTCAGAAGTTGATATGCATAGTATAGCCTTTGAAAGCCTGTGCTCAGAGAACTCAGTCATCCAGGAAGACACCCCTAGAGTTTTAGAATGTCCAGTTTCTTATTCTAATGGCAATGAGGAAGCAGCAGCCAATCTCCACGTCCTGTCTTCTGCATTCCCAGAACCCACCTCTTCTATTAACAAGTGCAATGGTGTACAAGAAAATGTATCAGTAAGTGACTGATTATTTCCAAACTCACATTGCTTTGTTGCTGAGTCATGTACCTTCAGCAGTTCCCATGGAAACTAAATGAGTTAAGAATAGTAAGTACTCTGTCATAGTCCTTTTTATATCATTTCACCATGAACTCTTGTCAGGAAAGTAAAGGTAATTCTGAGATAATACTGCCATGTTCTTTTAATAATCAATTATATGTAAGTGACTCCTTGAAAGTAAATATAACTGCTTTATTGTATACAAGGAAATAAACACAATTGGAGAGATCTGATCTAATAAGAGAGCTATTATAACAGTTGAATGTAGGATTATTCTATCAAGTCATTAATGGTTCCAAGGAAATTGTACTGATTATTCCTGTGCATGCTTTAAAAATAATTGGGAAGAAGTGCTTCAGCTCTCACACAAGTGCAGCATCTCTCTGTATACATTAAAGCATATTGTCTTTTTTCAGACTTCTGCACAAGCATAAAAGAATGTGCATCTGCTTTAAAAACATTAATTCAATGTCATTCTTAAAGCAGCTGCACTTTTTCAGGTTGACATGAAAACCTAAAAAAGAGGGGCTGCTTTAATGAATGCCAGAGAGGTGCTGTGATCACACAAGATCCAAAATACTTCTGAATAATATTCAGAGTGTGCACAGTTGATTATGTTGAACCATGAAAGCTCTAAAGGCAAATTCAGTTAGATTAAGCCAAAGGTTTATCTACTTCATTATCTTGTTTCTGCCTGGGAAGCTTCCAAAGCATTATTTCAAATGGAAGCCAGATAATTAATTAGTGCATTGGTTGTTGGATGATAAAGTGATCATACGTGATCAAAATGAAAAATTAAGATAATTATGGGGAACAGTTTAAGGAGATGGGGCCCTAAATCTGCTTAGGTCCTGGGGTTCACAAGGACAGCCAAAGGCACCTAATGAGCCAAATCTTGGCAGGTGAATTCTACTCAAGGCAAGGTGAAGTTATATACAGTAGATAGAGTCCAAAGAGATGTGCTTGGTCAAGATGACTAGCAGGCATGGATGGGTGAAGCAGATGAAATCTGTTAGATAAGCAGAAGAATTTTCAAGACCCCAAAATAAATCATGCTGACTGAAGTTTTTCCTAAGATAATAGAAGAATGTTGCTTTAACAGAGAACTAAAGCCATGTGAAGCTTGATATAGGCTGTCAAGAACTGTACTCTTGCCCACACCAGAAAAGCTGATTGGCCTGAAGAAGGATCTGAGTTTTACAATATCAAACTTCTATGTGCCTGAAGAGAAGTAGTGTCTGCCAGAGGTTCATCCTCTAAGTAAGAAGAAAATGGCAAAGTCCTCTCTGATTGGAAGTTTCTAAAGACAATAAGGGAAAATATTTAATTTCCCAGTCTATCAGTACAAATTTGGCTGGCCAACACATGGGACAATTATAAGACAGAAATGAACATCTAATAACTCTCAAGGAAATCAGGAATAAACAAAATATCTCAAGAAAATAGAAACTAGTTTTCCTATCCGCTTGCTCACTTGTAATTTCCTTTCAAGCTGCTCTATTCTAATGAAAAAGTAGAACGGAAAGAGGAGCAGGCACTCCGTTCCAGTTATACCACCAGGGGAATGATCTTCTGCACTCAGATGGCCATGTGTTTGTCCTATAACATTTTGTGGAAAGGCATCTTTTATGTGGACACATTCCGCTTGATCAGGAGAGTATCATGCATAGTACATAGCAGGAGAATTGTTTAAGATTATTGAAATTTTGCAAGAAACGTGTGTGTTTTGTGAGACCTGTTAATGTGTTACTGATAGGAATTATGTTGGAGGCAACAGTTTCTTGCACAGTGAAGCTAGAGCTCTTACCTGAGCAAGGGTTCTGAGGAAACCACTCACCTTTCTTACGTTCCAGGACTTGCACTTGTTTATTATTCAGTTGGATGTTTCCCCCTTCTGAATGGATTTTTTCCCAAATAGGGTTTTTTGCTAAAACTGATTCTTACATATTCTGGGGAACGTTGGGGATTTTTGCAGTGCTCAAGACAGGATGGGAGTGTTTATTGGGGTACCTAGACAAAACCTCTCTGCAGCAGAACTTCCCATGAGAACAAGAGGTTCTGTAGAAACCTAAGCTTTTCCTCAGAAGAGATCTCTACAAGTTGGGGTGCAAACATAGTCACTAATATGAGGATCACCTACTTCAGTGTTCCTTTGGGTACAGTATAGTTTGAATTGTACATAAACTGTAGAATATTGATTCAAAATATTCAGCAGTGGGGACTCAGTTAATTCTTGATTGCTTGTGCTCTGAAAAGATTCAACCTTTGCTGAAGGAGTATACAGTTCCCTTGATTGTAGAAATTCATAATTAGTTATTTTCCTAGATTCAGTCATGAACCTATATGCCCAATATTCAGCAAGGACCAGCAGTGTGTTTGCACAGCTAATACAATGTTAAATTTGGTTATATTAACACATAACGTATATATTATTTAGAATGCTATAGTGTACTTTGAAAATGTTCAGAAACTTATGGTTCATATTGTTTCAGCCATACGGTCATGTAGATCTTGTGACTATTGTCATAACAGCTTCCCTGGCCGCTGGTCTATTCTAATATTCACAGTGTAGATGACTGATTTAAATAGAAGAGAGTATATGTAGTTCAGGGTTGAACTTGGGGTTCTCAGAGCTTGGTTGTTTTCTTGCAGATAGATGTTTCATTACCCGGCTAGGTAACATATGACTGATTTTAACCTATGTAACTTGGGACCAGGCTGTTGGAAAGATTGGAAGGTAATTTGGGAAGAATGTGAGAAAGGACTTCTCGGTAGTTGTTCTCAGACAAAGAAGTTCTCTATTAAAGGAATCTAGCCCAATTTAATATTTCCTAGTTTTTGCTCAAATATCCTAAGTCAAATTTTTTTTTTTTGGATTTTAAATGAACATATTTGCTGAATTTTTTGTTTATAATATTATTGTTAGTCCATTTAGCTCTATTTTTAGAACAAAAGAAGGGAAAGGGAACAAAAACATGGGCTATTAATTAAATAAAAGCAATAGTGGTTGTAGATCAATCTTTAACATACCTAGGAATTCATTCCATTTTTCTGTATTCACATCTGAATAGGTAAGCGATGCTGAAGTCATTTCTCTGATACCCTCTGAGTTACAAGATGGTCTAAAACTGACAATGTCCAGACTTCAAAGTGCAAGCACTGAATATGGAAGCAGTGAGTTCATGGATACATACTTCCTAGGATTAACTTGGGGGCATTTTATGACTATATTTTGTCATAAAATATATTTTGTTTGACAGCTCAAACAAGGAAATGGAATACCCTATAAGAACAAAAGCTCTAAATAATGTAGTTAAGTTAGAAGACTTTTTCAGAATGATCTTCTACCTGGGTATGCTGCATTTCAGTTCCCATAATCTCTAGTTAGCATGGGCAGTGACTGGGGTATATGGGAGATGAAGTAAAGTGTATCTAGAGAGCACCAGGTTAGGGAAGTCATTTGAATAAAAATTAAATACAGGAAGCTAACAAGAAACCACAAGCAGTAGAAGATCATGCTATCATTTGTTGCACATTGTCCCTCACAGACAACCAACATTTTGCCTTTTCCTTTCTCCCACCATATACCTTAATATTATTATTTTAACAAGTTGCATCAAAAAATACAAAATGGAAAAAACAGAAACATAAAAGCAATAAGAAAAAACAGAAAAAGAGAGAGAGAGAGAGAAAGAAAAGAAAGAAAGAAAGAAAAAGAAAACAAAAAAGGGGTTAATAAAAGAATAGTCAGATTCCAAAGTTTAAGGACCTAATTTAACATAACATGAACATCTTTAACACTAAAGGATTTCTCCATAAATCTACTCTTATAAGTGACAGTGAACACAGAGCCAGCAAATAGCACAACCTTTTTCTGAAAGTCCAATTACAAGCTGTTCCCAGTGCAATTAACTCACCCTTTTATAAGGGAGGAAAACAAGGCTAGTTACCCAAATTAAATTGAAATTCAGATGGTTAGACAACTGCTGGTTCATTTGCACTAGCTCTCTGTTTCAATAACACAGTTAATGTTCTGTTTTTCAGGTACTAGTTTAGATTTAATACTTCAGCTTAATCAGGCAGAGCCAGGAAATAAGGTTTACCAAGACAGCAATGCCATGGCTTCTCTGCAATGCTTTGAAATGACTCCAGATGTCACTGCGGCAACAGCAAAAGAAACAGAAATGTTGTCACAACCATTGAAGGTAATATCTGGTAAATAAACTAGTGATCTACTATCTATATGGGAATAACAATATCTTAAATACGATATTTGTTGATTTCAACAGAAGACAGGGTAAAGCTATTAACAAAATTTCCATTTACTTTGTCCTCTTTTTAGTATTTTTCTCACATATAAACAGCAAATGTTGATGAAGTATTACTCTGTACTTCCTTCACCATTGGCCATATTGACTATGATTGTTGGGAGTTGTAGTTTTGCAATGTCTACACAGCTATAAGTTTCCCCTGTCCTCCACCACAGAAACCTGCACGTGGGGATGAATAATAATAATTAAAAATCTCCCTCTCCTTCAAGGGCACAGTATGTAGGAAGTCTTAATTTACAAACTGCAACATAGCAGAGAGTCAAACTATTTCAAATGGTAAATGCCTCGTTAAGTGTTGACTTTTGTTCTCATGAAGTAATGTATTTGACTCCTTTTCAGAATGTGCTAAAGATGGTGTATGACGAGAGTTACAAACTGCTAGTTCTGTCAGAAAAACCTCTGCCTCTTGATGATGGTGATAAGATTCAACAAGTTCCATCAGTGGAGGGTTGGCAAAGAGAGAGACTAATGTTGCTTGATATAATACAATCACTGAAGAGTTATCTCAAACAATCCGACAAAGAAAATCAGGTACGTTGATATAACTTTTGTTTATAGTTATCCAGTTACTACTACTACTACTATATCATGGTTTTCCAGAAATTCTTAGACAGCATTCTTTAATTTCAAGATGGTCCTTCCTTAACACAGTTGATGTTCAGGAGTACGAATCCTTCCAGATTGCCTTTACTATTGAGTTACTTGGTCAGGTTTTGAGCTTCTGTTCCTAAGAGCCAGGTTGCTTGAATTATTGTTATTTTAGGTTTATTTGTGTAGCTTAAAAAAAAAAGATTCTGGTCTTTGTTCTGTTGATTATTGGCAGTTGCAAGAGGCAGAAGCTCAGTGATAGAGTACTCTGCTTTTATTGGCTATTTTCTAACACTCAGTGCACTTTCCAGACTCTTCCTAATACCTCTGAGCCTTCTCCTAAGGTGTTTTTCAACTTCCTAGCCTGTCTACATTGTAATGGAATGGATACACATTTGACACTTCAGCATCCAATTGTCTGTATTTAGATTGTGTCTCTAACATGAAGGTTGAAGTACTTTCCAGCCTTTTCTACAGGTCAGAAAATGACACAGCTCTTCCAGAATTATCTGGGCCAGCTAGTAATGGTGCATAACTATATTGAGTCTTGGTAGGCCTCTAATTCTTAGACAGTAGATGCAAAAATGGACAGTTGCCTATCCTCTCGTTGGCATTTTTGAAAAGAGTGAGTAAAGCTTTCCCTTATTGTAATAGTATGTGGGAATGACCTTGAGAGGTAAGGGGAAGAGATGCTGTCTAGGGAATGATTAGGTAAAAGGGGGAGGAGATTGATGTCAGCCTTCCAGGTAGACCAGACAGGAAACACGACAAGATGAGCTAATTCTACTTTATTATAAGGCTACATTAACAGAATCTTGCAAGTCTGAAAGTACAAATCTCCCGCCTTTTTTTTTTTTACAGCCTGATAAGTTAGGTCGGATCCTTTCTAAGTTTCTTTCTATGCCTGTTATTCAACTGTGGGCTTCTCCCCCTTTTATCTGATTATTCCCTAGGCAGCATTTCTTCCCCTTGCCACTCAAGGTCATTCCCACATACCATTACACTTACCCACACTCATACATTATACTACTGCCAGACTCTTGAAGGGAAATTTCTGTAAACCAGTTTTATTCATAAGTTCAGTGTCTGATGACTCAGAAAATTCTCTGTGTACTTTCTAAGCATAATAACTTCCAAAAAGTGTGGACTTAAGTGTAAATGGGAGGTAGGGTTCATATCTTTTCCTCTTCTTCTGATTCCCTATTTTCAAATACTGTCAGTAGACTGTATCACAATCATCTGAATACTCAAAACTCTTCTTCATGGGGAGGGGGGAGCCAAAGTTAGAGAAAGAACAGAGCCTTCAAGCTCTTGGCATTTTGGAAGATATTTCTTCTCTGATATATTCCTGAACACTCTAGCCAGAGCTAACAGTGTTCTGCAGTTGTAAGGTAGGTCTTTCCACTCTTAGGTCCAGGTCCAAGTGAAACCTCTGAACAGTCAGGCCTTTTTCATTCATCTTTCAGAAAATACAGAAACCAGGATAGGGAAATCTCTCCAAAACCAGCCTCGTGCCCAAGTTGTAAAATAACTTTATTTCCTATACAATAAGGTGTTGCTTTTGTGTAGATCATCTCTACCTTTGGCAGCATCCCAGTTGTTTGACTTAGCTCTGTGTAAGGATTCAGAGTATCAGCTAGTACTTTATAATGTCAGCAACTAACTCTTTCTTCTCAAAAATGATTCTTCTGTGAGCAAAAGGAGCTTGCTCATTTCCTGGGAGAAACAGTGACAGTCTCAGATGTCTTTATGGGTGAATTTCTTACTCAGTAATATATTGTACAGCAGCAACATGGATTTCTATACTTTTACTAAGTAGTAAAATGTGACGATTTATCATGTGGTAAAGCATATGCTGGAAGCAGCAAAACGTTTTACATACTTGTCATATTTCTATAATCCTAATCAAATAAAACAGTAAATATGGCAAATACAGAAGTTTGGAACACCCTCCCAGTTGATCCAGTGCTACTTTTTATTTTTTCACTATAAAATGGCTAATAAGGCTCCAAAAGGTGATTGAATAATTAAGCCTACAATTAGCCAGCTGAAGACAGTTCCACAGGCAAATGAATGCTATTGCCTCCAGTTGTAATTCTTCTCTCTACTCTCAACAACCATGAGCTTCTTTAAACTGCTATGTGAGTATTTGAAAATGAAGATAATTTACTCTTATAAAGCAGGGGGAAAGCTATGAAAAGCTCTAAGCACTTCCAGCTAACAATGTTAACTGTGGAAAACATTCTTAAAGAAATGCAAGTTTCAAGGGACTGTTGAATTAAAGGCAAACTCCAGAACTAAAGAAAACAAATCTGCTGGAATTGTCTAAAAATTGATCAGGTTGACAGAAGAAAACGAAGCACTAATGACCTCCTGGAAAATTAGCTGTTGCTGCCGTAGTTAATTCCAGGTCTAGTACATCTTCACTTAAACAATTATGATCTGCATGGGCAAGTTGTCAGAAAGAAATGTTTTCTCCATCCTTCTCTCATAAGTCATCATCTGAACCATACAAAAACCTTGATAAATCTGAACATTTTTGGAACAAATTGCTTTGGACTGACAAAAGTTGAACTGTTCATCCACAAGCACACAAAATACATTTGGAGAAAAGTACACTTTGACAACCATTGAGCATGGAGTTCCTCTATTATACTTTGGAGTGGAATGGCAATCAGTGGCACAGGAAATACTGTGCATTGGAAGGAAGAATGGATTTAATTAAATATGAAGGGTTAGGGATATGGCAATGCCCCACAATCAGTGAAGAAATTGAACCTGAAAAAGAGTGGGTATTTCACCAAGACAACAATCTGAAGCACACATCAAAGTCAGCAACCATAAGGTACTTATAGGAAAGAAAGAAAAAGGTGTGGGTATGGTGTTTACTGTCCCCAGATTTGAATATTATTGATAATCTGTGAGGAGGTCTCAAACATGCAGTGCAAGGAAGGAGACCTAAGAATATTTCTGAGCTAAAAGAGTTTTGCAAAGAAGAGTGGGGGGAAAAAATCTAAAAGCAAATGAGAAAGCTGGCTACAGGAAACATTTGGAATGAGGAAGTGTTACAAAGTACTGACTGAAAACGTGTCCAAATATCCACATCTGCCGTGTTCACTGTTTTCCTATTTTGAATCTATAAATAACTGCACATAAATACTAAGTATACATTAAAATTTGCAGAGAGATGTCGATATTAACCATTTTACTGACTTCCTTTCATTTAAGGATTAATTAATTGAAAGATACAATTGGACTAGATACCTAAACTTTTAACTGCAACAGTATAGTGAAATGATGATTTTTCAACTGCTGCATCCTGCTCACTAATATTACACTTGAAACAAACTGCAATGTATTGCTATTTATTTTCAGTGTTCTAATTCTAAAAGAATATTAGTCTGGAACATACATACCATATTAGGAGCAAAACAATTATATATTATTTGTCTCAGATTATTGTTATCTATATGTATATGTGGTTCGCTGATATATGCATGCATATACACATGTAGAAAATCCAAACCTATGCTGATGTATATTAAAAAAATCACATTAAAATGTTTTGATTTTCCCTAAGAACAACAAAAATCTTACAAATCTATGTTAATTCAAGTGGCCTAACAAAGTGTAAATTATATGCAATCTTAGTTTGAATTAGTTTTAAATTCTATGTTGTAAAAAAAATAGCCTAGGTATGTGAATTTACATTTTTTAAAATTCTGCCATATATTCTTTCAAGATAGGAAATGGACTTTCTTTTCAGGAGCAGCAGCAAAAGAGGGTTGTGGAACATCTTTCATCTTCAGACAGGAACAGCTTGCTTTCCAATGTACAGGATCTTGAAGTTGAGTTGAGACTTACAAATCTTCAAAGCCAAGAGAAATTACAGGAACTCCAAGAAACACTTGTAAATACAGAGAATCATGGGGAAAAGCAAGAACACCAGCTTCAAAGACAGGGTAATATATTTTTCTTTTCCTCTCATTGTTCATTTGACTAAATAAATATTAAAAATATAAATATAAAAAATAAAAATCAATAATTTATTGATTATTGGTTTTGTTTAAACTTTTGTGAATATTAGATCCCAGCCACTGAATATCTTCCTTCCAAATATTCTGCATTACTGGTCCTTCCTTTCATGTTTGTATCTCTTACTATTAGTGTACTTCTCTACCAAATATTGGAGAACTGGATAAGCTGGATAAGGAATTCTCAATTTTGAATAGTTGTCATCTTATCCACTACCTATTTGTAATTTCTTGTATTCATCCCACTAGCTTTCATCTTTCCTAGCTGGATGAAAATTTGCCCACCAGAATGAAAACTTGAGAAGCACAATTAATAAAATATTAATAAAAATATATCTTAAAATATATTTATTAGTTGTATTATCCAAGTACTATATACAAATGGCCCTTATTATCCATGGTCTCATTGTATGCAACTACATATATCTCCAGCTGGAAATTACCACATTTCAGTATCTACAGTAAAGATTTCACTTATGCATGTTTTTTGTGTACTTTCCATGCACAAAACGGTGGACAGGCTTTTTAAAGAACACTTTTTCATGATTATTTATTTATTACATTTCTCTCCGCCCATCTCCCCCCAATGGGGGACTCTGGGCGGCTCACACAAAACATTAAAACCATAAATACATAAAACATACAAATTTAAACAAAACATTACTAAAAAAGGAGAAAGTCCAAGATGATGATGGATCTGGGGCTGAAGTCAGCAGGCCTCTATGGGGCTAGCCATCCCCCACGTTTGATGTATTTTACTAAAAAAGGAGAAAGTCCAAGATGATGATGGATCTGGGGCTGAAGTCAGCAGGCCTCTATGGGGCTAGCCATCCCCCACGTTTGATGTATTCCCTCCCCACCCCAGAACGTGGCAGAACCAGGTCTTCAAAGCCCTCCGGAAGACCAGGAGTGAGGGGGCCAATCTCACCTCCGGGGGTAGAATATTCCAAAGAGCGGGGGCTACCGCAGAGAAGGTCCACCTTCTGGATCCTGCTAATCGAAGTTCTTTTACTGAGGGGGTCCAAAGCATGCCCTCTCTGTGTGATCAAGTGGGACAGGTTGGAGTCATGGGGAAGAGGTGGTCCCTTAGGTAACCTGGTCCCATGCCATG